TAGTTTTTATACGCAAACTCTAATACTTTCCTCTCTCTTTTGCTCGGCTACATGTCGTTGGGTTCATTAATTAGTAACCCTTTTTCTACAAAATTTGTATGCGTGAGGGGCAACGTAGGCGCCAATGGTTTACACCGCATTATTGCAACCAGGCTCCGTGTTAGTTGAGAACTTATCCTATTATACGATTCTTTTAGTTAAATGTATAACGCCTTGGTTTTATGACTGTAATGTAATACAATTTAATTGAAATTATTAATAAATAAATAAATAGATACCTACTAGACTTTGCTTCCATCAATATAAATTGCAAAACCTATAGCAAAAAAGGTTATAATAATTCTTCGGTTTACAATTTTGTTACTAAAATGTGTTATCCGTATTTTTTCGAATAGTTATCATGTATCTTAAGTCTTTTGTGTTTTGTTGTTTGAATGGTCCGCGTCATGAATTTCATTGATCGACGTGACAAGTGCGTTACGGTTGAGGTTGAAGTCATTTGTGATGCACTTTGGAGAATACTGGACTGTGGGTACTGCAGATGAGATTTATTGTCTAGTCGTGATCACTGGGCCGATAAGTTTTCAATCTTATACTCTTATACTCTTATACTATTATATAAGTCGCGGAGAACCTAACGGGTAACCGGGGCTCCGGCTCGACGTGCAGGAGAAGGAACGGGGTGGTTTTTAGTCAGTAAGAGTCTGACACTCCCTCCCGCCTCACCCAGACGGGGGCAGTCATTCCTCTAAAAAAAAAATACTATTATATAAAGCGGAAGAGTTTGTTTGTTTGTTTGAACACGCTAATCTCCGTAACTACAAGCCTGATTTGAATCATTCTTTTTGTGTTAGATAGTGCATTTATCGAGGATGGCTATAGGCTATAAAACATCACGCTACGACCAATAGGAGCTGAGCAGAGCGTGTGAAACCGCACGGAAGTAGCTAGTTATTCTATAAAGCTTCAGGATTTTGCTTGCCGGTTCCGAATAAACTAAAGTAGTAGTTAACCGTACGTAAGTACCTACACGTTGTTGTTTCGTGTTGCTGTTTTTTATTTATTCTGTCGAGTAAATTTTTTCCAGGTACTTTTTGTCAATAGTAAAAAGACTTCAAAAATATTTTTACCTGTTTGTTCATGTTTTTATTTAACTGTACACTGTACAGTCGGTTTCGAGGAATCATGGAATCGAATAACGCGAATGTAAACTGGAAATATTTGATACGCTCTCAATATTTTGAATTCAACAGACCAAAAACAGGTAGAATTTATTTATCAGGCTTGGCTATAATATTTGCTGATAGGTACTTGATGCTGCATTTATGGATATTTGGCTTCAATTTATATTGGTGGTATGCAAACCAAAACACGAAAATAAGTAAATACATATAAAACAAAGTGAGCGCGGTTTGATTACTTAGCGTTTAATTTGTAAAGTGAGCAATGTTTATTTAAATACGTACATTTATCCCGGCAAAGCTAGTGTGTACATTGTAGAAAAAACAGTATCGTTTGGGGCTGCGTTGATTGAGGTAAAACCTTCACTGTTGGATAGTTATGGTGGTATAGTTGCCCCGAGCTTCCCCAACCTTCACCCCAACCTCTGTACGTAGACTTGACCTTATCCCGTAGAACTGATGATTCGGCTGCGAAAGTCGAACTAGGACAGTCGATCGTTAATCGAGCGAATTTGCGACCGAGAATATTTCACAAAGCGGGGTGCAACCTTGCATTCCCTTACGTGCACTGTTACCCGTCAAAGATATACGTTTATATTTTATCGTTTGTGAATAAAAATGCTGATACTCTATGACCCTTGTAACAGATTAGTTGTGTGAACTTGCGAGTCAATGGTCGACGATATTTTCCGACTTCCACGTGTCACAGTTTCGGAATTAACCTTTATTATATTAAGTTACTGTGTAATAGTCCTCTATGTACTCAATTGTGGTTTAAATTAGTATGTATCAACCGTCAAATATTAATAGTACCTTTAATGTGGTGCTATTTCAATTATGCGTTGCCGTCGTCTAAATAGAGATAGAATACCTATTCTATACCTATTACCTAATAGACGTAGAATGATCATTTAGTTTTATAATACTTTGTGGCGACACATGTCAAATGACAGTTCAAAACAAATCAACGGATTATGCCAACAAAAATCTACATCCCACATGCAAAGTTTACATGCAAATTTAACACGGATAGAAAATCCCAACGAACAACAGTAACTGTTGGGCAGAAAGCCCGCCAGGCACGACCACCTTGCCTGGTCGGAGGATCCTCCTTTTCCTTTGCCTGGTCGGAGGATCTTACGGAACTATACTCTCTGTTCCCTAAAACTTGCTTGACAAAAATGGTGCTAAATATATAATTAATATAAAGTTCATGTTTTACTACGTTCAGTTTCTCTTATAAATGTGTTATGTGGCTGCCTGTAGAGAACCATATTTTTCCCTATAAATATTTAATTCATCGTGGCATCGGTAACACTCGTTATTAAGAATTGAATATAATAACGCAATAAATAATGCGCTACTACCTCTCATAAGACCTCGCCTTTTTCTCTATAAAAAGAGTGAAGCCACACTGGAAGCTCGAGAGACTTTAGACGCAAGGATTGAAAAAGCAATCGGGATTTTTCTTGCCGGCAATTTTCTCTCGCACAACTCGATGTTGCTATGAATTCCGAGAGACGAGTACACTAGTTTTTTCAATTGTCTCATTAAATTCCATAACGGAAGCAAGCAATAAAATGAATCTGTGAGACCTCTTTTCAATTCTTTTAAGTTTTATTTTAGTGGGGACAGTTTTATTAATTCCATTGCTTTTGTTTTTTAACTCTTTTAATTCAATGTGACAGCCACATATTGCAGAAAAATGTTAGCCGTTTAGAAGCACCTTTGTAATCAAATTATTTTAGAACCTACAATTCTTTTATTCTTTAACCTTTGAAAATTGGTTGGGACGTAGGTACGAGTAATACTTATTACATTTTTTGGGAATAGGTCACTTACTCAGAATCATATTAGTTATAAATATAGCTCTCTATTTACTTGTAGCCGGCGGCTTTCTGATTATTGTCTAGTCGTCTGTTCAAAGCAGCTAAATCGCTTTTATTCGCTGGACAACTTTGCACAATATCGTCGCGTTGTGGGCTGAGTAACTTGATCGGAGATTATGGAGCTGCAAGTGGACCGGTTGAGGTACCGGGCCCTCGAGTAAATACTCGTACAAACCTAATTCAATACATTAGAAATAAATGGACATAGCAACATAGTTTTTTGTGTGTCACAGTTTGTACGAGAATTTAATAAACTGGACAGAATCCAGAAGTTATTGGAATATCGTCTTTTATTCTAGCATTTTCACTTACGTTCATGCTATGTCGGGGCTCACACTTATTGACTTAAAACCGACCACAACAAGATTTTAAAATATTTAATGTAAAGTATGTACATACTTTATTAAAAACGATACCGTAAAATAATAAACTGAAGTTAGCTGTTTTCAGCAATGGCATATATATATATATATATATTGTACTATAATGGCAGACTCAAATTACGCTTGAAATTCTAAACCTCTAATTTTAATAAGCCAACTAGCAAAACAATGAGTTATGGCAACGTTTCTACTTGGCTTTCAGTTCAAAGACTAAACGGCTGCGACATTATATCATAATCCATAGCACGTTTTATTCACAGAGTTTGTTCCACATTCCGTCGCTATAAAATTATAATTAGGTATTTATCCCAACCGTAGCGTAGCCTGCGTAGCCCTAAACTTGTCAAAGGTAGTACACACACCGCGGGGTAATTGAACAACCCCTTTTTACCATGGCGTAAAATAAAACACCGTGTTTCCCCCATAAAAATACCAAGCTCTGTGCCACGATTTTTATTCACTAGAACGAAATTATTCAATGAAAATAGAACAATTATTTTTGCCATTTACCTGCTAAGTATTTTTTTAATGTATATGAAGCCGTACAGAGTAATTAATAAAGAAGTTAAATGTGGTTTGCTTTTCTAACCAATTTTAAATGGTCCGCCGCAGCTGTACAGGTTTTCTTAAAATTTTCCTTCACGTGTTTTATTTTAACCGAGATGTTATGATATAAATTAGCTGTCCTAAAAATATACACACCTTGTAATATACAACATATATGTGTACTGACATTGAAATGTGTCCGAGGTTATTGGCTCCGACCCGTCTTATTATGAAGATGGCGGCACGTGTGACCCTACAAAATCCAAAATTGAATGAAATGTGAAATGTGTAGATATTTCATAAAATATTCCAATGCTAATCCACACACAAATAAATATTTTGGTTGGTGCATTAATCGTGCGATCTCGCCGCCGCGTCGCATTAATCCTTGTGGAGTAGATTGATCAATGGCCGTTTGTGGAACTCCCCCCCCCCCCGGTTTTCTCGCAACTACCTGTTCAAAACTGCTATTTATTTTTGTGTCCCTAGTTTTGAAGTCATGTTAATAAAAATGTTGTGGAATGGCATATCCCTTAAGTACTATAACTTTTAAAGACTATCTGTTCTACTTTATCCCTGAAGTTATTGGAAATGCTTCCGATTTTAAAGTTTGATGTTGGACGCAAAGTTTGAGAACAAGTGTGTGTGGTGGGAGGATAGTTTGTAGCTGTCTTAAAGGCTTTGTCAAGATTTCTGGTGATTGAAGTGATGTAAGGAGCAGCGGAAATCGATATGCAAAGTAGGTTGGTTAGCAATGTGGTGTGGAGGTCGCAGGCTATGCGTGCCTATGATCGATGGTGTTGCGTGCGGGCCGCGCGCCGTGAGGTCGCGCGTAAGGCCCGCGCTCGCCGGCTTGCGCTCCGTGCGACCCTCATCCAGCACCGGTAGAGCGCCGTGACGTGGCTTCTCTTTGTTCCACACCGCCCGTCGACGCCACCATTGCCTCCACCGCCTTCGTCGCTTCATATCGCGACGCCGCGCCTACCTCTTATTGCGCATGCTCAGCACGATTCTATTGCGTCCCCACTACGTCATGATTTAAAATGATATTCGGTGCAAAATAGCGTACATTGTATCTGTACATCGCGACAGTCGGGATTGTGGGTGATACGAGCGTTCCAATAGATATCGCAGCGGCCCGTGTTGCTGACAGTGCTGTAGCCGTGCGCTGGTCCCGCCGTGGTTAGTTGGGAGCTGGAAAGGGAGCGCGCGGCAGCGCCGGTATCGATCTGAACGTTTCGTGTGCCCGCTCGTGCACGACGCGACGTTCTCTCGGGATATTCGCCCAGTGGTCGCCGTCGGCGCCGGCCTTGCTGCACTGTTTACGCGCAGTGTATATTTATTTCATCCGCGCGATCATGCTCACCGGAGCTAATTGTTAACGCGACACACGCATCCGCGAGCGCATCTTCGAGCCGCACTAGGCTTCGTCGACGTATTTCATCAATCCCAGATCAGCGAAACTTTAGGTAAGTCGAGTTTTTGCTGTTCAACGTGATCTTACTTTATTATTGCATTTTATTTTGACTGTGGGAGCGAATGTTTAAAAGTTTAAAACTAAACCTTCACTTCGTTGTGGTTTTTATATGTTGCTTTACCTCATTTTATAATTTTGTGGTTCTGTTCTATCGTCCTACGTATATAATCTGTTTAAAGTGTGTTCAAATATTTCTATTGAGTGTTTTAGCCGGCCATCTGGTTTATATTCTAAAGTTAGATTGTAAAATCGTAAACCACAGGGAATCAGCGGTACATAGGTATTAACAGAGCGAGCAGTTTGTTAAACGGTATCCATCCCGACTCAACGGAATAAATTCGATCGTATTTTTGTTCAAACAGAAAGCCTTTCGCAGCGTTTATGAAATATTACGCTAAAAATACTCGGAATATATTTGAAAGGGCTTTATACACGTGATGTATTTCTTATTCATACTGCGCATGTCTTTTAAGTTTATTTGTCATACATCTGTACAATGGAATTCTTAAATTCGGTAATAAGTAGAGGTTTTCTCTGAGTAATCTTCAAAGATAATGTTTCCTGTCTAACTCTAGTGAGTTCTTTTATTTTAATCGAGCCTTACGTGTTGAATAGGACGGCATCAAATTGAGTGCCCACCTATACTGAAGTCGCTCTTTAAGAGTACACGGAGCCTCTTTAGCCGCAGAGGCTGTTTAGCGACATTGTGAAGTGAGGGCGACAAAAGGAAAAAATAGTAAACCCGTCGGGTAAAAACTATGAAGAAACTTTGCAGCATTCTTGACGCATCAAATTGTGATCATACGGTTAACGTTAAGCCGTACGGAGATAACGCTGACGTGTTTATTATAGCTGTAATTATGAGTATCTACTTATTTAAATATAGCTATCTACCCATTCAAAATTTATCTTCTCTCCGTGATGTTCCAATTAACACTTTTCTACTTCTGCCTATAGATTTATTTCTTTATTCAATATGTACATTCTTGTTATACATATTTAATATGTTTACTGACAAATAATAAAGAGTAAAATATATTTTTGCCTCATCTCTTAGCCACTACGATAATCTGTACACAGTACCGCATGCGTCATTACATTTAAAAGTCATTACGACTAACTACAATAATCTAAGAAGTTATCTAGCTCACGTTATACCGGTTACACCCTATAGGGTGTACACTGATATTTCTGATCTCTATTTTTTACTGATATACAACTATGCATTTGTATGTGACAAATACATCAGAGTCATTATCAATTACTAAGAATATCTACTGCATCGTGGGTGTGTTTACAAACATAAAGTTATCTTGCAAAAGATAGCGGTGTGCTGGTAGGTTGTCTATACAAGATTGTTGCTATCTAAAAAACTGAGCAAATAAAGACATTCGTTTGTTTACAACAGACTACTCTAACTACATAAGTCGCTGCAGATGATTGCTACAAACAGAAGTACATGTTGTTGATACAATGATTATAAACAAAAAACTGAGTATTCACAACAAAACGTAGTATAACATTTTGTAAATGCAATATCATATCATTTCTTGGAAGAGGTTATCACAAGCCCTGTGCACCTCTGCAAGACAGTTATGTATTGTAAACTTTAGCTAGATATAATTATGTACGTTCCAAGCATATCAATCACAAAATATACATACATATTTCACCCCTGCCTGACTATTTACTTAAAACTCCTGATATTATCATTGTCAGACACAAAAACTTTCTTCGAATATTTGTAGCAGAAGCAGGAGTATAGAAAAAAGTACGTGATACAAACAGGTGGAATACACAACCGTTGTAACAGGTCTTAACATCTGTTGATTGTTGCATCCATTCAACAATAGTATGCAGGCATCAAAATAAAAACAGGTTGTATCAAGAGGCGACCAAGCCTGACTGCGATGGAAACAAACACCGGTTTGCACGCTGCAGATTATACTGCCTTTGTTGTTTGACCAGTTTTATACATATCGTAGCTTTAGATACCATAATAAAATTCGTCTAGACACTCTTTTTACAAATGTATACTCTAAAAAGAATACGTTTTAGAGTAAATTCTTATAAAGAGTTAAATAGATATCTGTAAACGCCTTTGTTTAAATGTCTCAATCAATTTCAATGTCTTTTTCTTACTGCAATTTAAGGTTAACACTGCGGTAATATTCAATGTATCTTGGTTTGGTACCCAATAAAGAGACAATTAACTTGAACACACAGTTATTTGCAAAACAAACTCTCTCTGATTTTCACTCACGCATTTTTGCAAAAGCACAAACTGAATCAAGAATAAAAGTTTATAGAATATTAGACTTTCTGAAAGCAAAGATGACTTGCGTTATAGCTTCCCACTTTATATCTATTTCAATCAATCGATCTGGTACCTCCATTTAGCTTCTAAATACATACATAATAAATGTGTCCATTAGACCAACACATCCGTGTTGCAGCGGCATCCGATACTCCTCTATCTGAGCGTACCTTGCGATGCCTACTTTCCGTCTAACACAATACATAATATAACGAATTTGAATCACGAGTGATGTAGCCTCCGAGCTTACTTTACTGATGCATGTTACAGTAATTAACTTAAAACGTCCCTACGTTGAGAGCTTTTGTATAATTTCTTTAATTAAAAGTTAAACCTTTAAAGGTACATGCCGCAAAGACATTTCTTCGGTTTCCACTTAACTTTCCTTATTCGGTATGTTCTACGTATCGTGTCTTTTTGGACGAAAATAGATGTGACTGGCCGCTGGATATATTATTAAGAGCTAGATCTCAGGAGACCTCGCGTTTTCCTTCTAAAAGGCGATCAGACCGAGACGTCTGAAATGTCCGTAACCACAATTGCAGAGATCTATATTTAGTTGTGGGATGCAATTTAAGTGGCTTTTACGACCGACCGTCTACTTTCTTTTCAGAAACTAGACATTTAGAGAAGTCAAGATGTCATTCGTTGATTAAAAACCAGAATTATACGAGTACCAAATAAAACTTAATATGTCGACACAATTCATGCTTATTCATATCAAGATCAACATGCATAAAAATCTGATATGATTATGAATATGATTTATAGATAAGAACACTTAAGCTCAATTAAATATATCGCGGAACTAATTGCTCAAGTACAACATGCAATTTGAGGCTTTTATTATTCAAATATTGCTGGGACGCAGCGTACGTTTGTCCAATTACTGAGACAATACTGCACGTTTGCTAGAACAACATTTTGTTTCAGTTTTGTTTAAACAAAGGTTTGTGTCCGTTTTTTAGTTTGAAAAACGGGTAAAATGTAAGGATCCCTAAATAAAGGTTGAACTTTGTTGCCATTTGAGTTTTAGCACGGATAAATAGATTCTTATAATTTGCTTTATGGTCCTTTACTGTGTACTATTTCCCTAAGAGAGGGTTTGACGTAATCTTATGCGTGGCAAGAGGGTTGGAGGTCATGGTTTCTGTTTATAATAATAATCCTTCGATACATGTTTGCTTGCATCATATTCATGTGTTTGTTTGTAAAAACCACATCGGTCTGAAGTACTTTATACTTGGCGCTCTGGCTTTTAAGAGGATCCTTCCAACGAAGTTCAACAGAACACTCCATGCTGTCCCATCTATTCGATATTGTTACTAACTTATAATACAGTATTCATACTGTGGTTTATTCTGTAACCTAGTTGGTGGCAACGCGGCGTTGCCAGTTGCCACTAAAATTCTTGGTATAAATACCCCCAATAACCCCTCTACATCCGTCCATTCTCTCAATAAAATTTAATTAATAAATACACAAAATATCCCGCCTCTGCTTCGCACGCGTGTTAATTCTCAACTTCCCGGGGAACTTTTGACAGACGTCGTCACTAGTCATATATGTTTTGTTTGCATTTCTTGTTTTGCGTACCACTGACCCGCTCCGGCGAGGATGCTCCGCTACAACGAATTTTCCCACATATTCTCTCTTAGCTTAACTTTAGAATACCACACAAAAGGATAAAATGGATCTAATAATTCACGGATGATCTGATGACCAAGATATTTTTTATAAACAAATAGTTAACTCATGTTTTACCTTGATTTTATTAAAGCAAGTCTATAAGACTCATATTACAGCATCAGAATCTTTGATTGGATGGAGATAGATAGTAATAACCTAGTCAACGTTAAATATCAAAGGTAATTAGCGTAATTACCGGTTCCGCTCAATTGAAATCGCTTAGATTAATAGAGGAGAGACGTATAAAGCGCTAAAAGGTTTGTCTTGTTAAGGAAATAAACTAAGCAACGTGATTGAAGATACTTTGTTGCTTATTAAATGAAAATGATTACTTAATACTCATTTATTAACGAACTGAGTTCGCCTATTTGTTCCTAAGAAGCTTAAATGTATCACCTTGACAGAAATTGTCCATTCAGTTCATACTTAACAGAGAAAAAGTGTATTCAGATAATGGGGGGGCCAAATCTCACTCGCGGCTGCCCTCTGAAAGGCCGGCAACGCACTTGTGACTCTTCTAGTGGTGCGAATGTCTACAGGCGGCCCCAATTGCTTATCGTTTGCTACTGCATACAACGCAAAAGTATTTTATACTAAATATAAATATATAATCTCTTTGAAAATTGAGACTCGTTAGTAATAACTTGAAAATGTATTAGGTTTTTGAACCTGACAATTAACTATAAACATAACTTCAGTAGGTTATAGTAGCAGTAGCAATGACGCGATTGCAGAAATTAATACATATTAATTACAATCACAGTGACTATCAGGTACAAATGATATTGTACCGACTGCGTAGGTATCTGTCATGTAACGAACAATGACGTCACTTGAGCTACCGTCACAACGGTTATCAATTTCCAACATATTACGTTACCATACCCAGGTTGATATTGGGAGATATAGAAATATTCCAATATATTTGTACTAAGTATGTATTGGAATATAACAACTAGACGTAAACTCAAGACAGTGCTTAGTGA